ACACACACACACACACACACACACACACACACACACACACACACACACACACACACACACACACACACACACACACACACACACACACCTACCTACCTACCTACCTACCTACCTACCTACAGTTCCTAAAATGCAATGTTATGAATAAAAAATTTCTAGTTTTATGGTTTCTAGATTAAAAGCCTATTGTTGACATTAGTAAACCAGAATTCTTCTGCTATTTGCTCACATTATGTTTGTACTCATAGACCTGATCTACATTAGAAAATTAGGTTGGTTTACCTACACTAAGGTGTGAATAATCCACACTAATTAGCAGCATAGTTAAAACTACCTAAATCCTCATGTAGACAGCGCAAGCTACTGCCTCTCGGGGAGGTGGGTTACCTACGCCAATGGGAGAATCCCTCCCATTGCTGTGGATGGTATCTACAGAACCACTTCAGCAGCATAGCTGTAGCAGCACAGCCTTTTTAATGTAGACAAGCCCATAGTTAATCAAGAAATTAACAGCCACATCCTGAAAGGAAATATTAGGAAAACAAGCCATTTGTTGAAGAAATTAGTAACAGTACATTATATTGGGTTACGTTATATTGGGTGCTTTATTTTTGTTCAAATCATGTTACTTTGTGAAATTTGGATTACCTTTCATGGGTGTTAGGTGAAAACATGTGCAACTCATTAAAATCAATGAAGTTGTACTTCCTTACACCAAGACTGAATTTGGCCCATTGTCTTTTGTTGACTTTCTATTTTAGTTACACTTATTTACTGGTACTTTGTATAAACAAACAAAAATAAGGTGTAATTACCTTACTAGCACAATTGCAGCTCAGTGTTAGCATGGGTTCACTTGCTAAGGAATCATTTGGAACATGCACAAAGGTATTCAGAGGCACAGTTAAAACTAAGGCAAGTTTCCTGATCTGTGTTATTCTGCACTGTGAGTTTGTTTTTTAGAAAGTACCTGGATTCTGATGCAGGCATTGACAAGTGGGGAAGTGTAAATTATGTAAGAACTTATGGAGACGCAGCCACACATCCAAATTTCAGCTGCTCCATCTGTATGTAAGCTTGACGACTGAAGTCTATCTAATAAGATTTTTCTATAAAAGTTATGGGGATTTTTTCCTTGTTTGTTGTTATATTAATTGCAGAAGTAAAGAAAAGATCAAGTGGTAAACTTAAGCATTAGAATGTGTTTTTTAGATGTGTTTTTTTTCAAATTCAGTGTGTGTTTTTTAAATGATGCATTACCAAGTCTTTTTTGTTTGTTTGTTTGTTTTTAGCTTATTTGCACTAATCTTGATGAACTCAGGGAATTAATCACAAAAATCGAGAATGAACTCAAAGATCTGGAGAACATTAGAAAGAAATCGGTATGTGATGTTCAAAAACTTTCATTTGTATGGGTATAAAATTGTTCCAGTTATTTTTTGGAGCCTGTGAATTGTTATAATGTGTGTCTTATGAGTAGTTGTATGGAAGCCCTTAGAGTTAACTAGTTAGAAAGATTTTATTTTTTATTTCCATCATATCTTTATATTAGTGTTCAGTTCACAATTACTGTCAAGAAACAGTGAAATTAATAAGTATATAGCAATCTTTAACCATTTTTTCAGGGTTTTGATTTAGTAAAGCTTGGGCAGGGCAATAGTACCTTAGACAAGAGTAGGTTTATTTGTACTTATTCTCTGAGCACCTTTCCTTGGGGCCATATTCTGATATTAATTCAAAATATGGAATCCTCACAGATTTGTGGTTCTGCTTAGATTTCCATCCAGACAGACACATGGTTACATAGGGCCCTGTGATGTAGCCACATAATGTCTATGCTGATGTCTGACTCCTCCCCTTCCACTAATGTGTAGTCAGATTCAGCTTAACTGACTTTTGTATTTCTAGTCAGCTGCTGAAGCATTCATTCAGGGGAGGCAATGCAGCACGATCATTTCATCTGGCTTTGGAGTGGGGATTGAGGGACAGATTCATACCTAGCAGACGTTGGACCACATAACTCAAGACGCCAAAATCAGACCCATTAGACCAAAGAATCCAGCAGATATTGGGTGTGGTGGCAAAGAGGGAGAGTCTCCCACCAAGATGAATGTTTTTAAAAGCATAAATGGTGGAACCCATTTGTTTTCTTGACTCTTTGGCTCAAACCCCTTCTACTATTGAGCTCCATTCTCCTTTCTGCCTCTTGATAAAAGTTTCATCTATGGCAACTGTGATCAATAGAGTTCATAAAAATGCCACAGAAATGCCTAACAATTTTAAATGACTTTGTCTCTGTATTTTAGAAGGAAAATTAGGCTATTCAGCCTATATTGCTTCAAGTGCTTGCAGACGTATGTTCAGGTCACCTTAGGTTATTGATACAACAAATGTTCTATTTGCAAAAAAGAAAAAAAGTG